CTCCTCTACACGCTCCCGAAGTTTTGCCATTTAATTTGGAAACACCCTGTATATGTCGCCAATCCGTTCGATAAGTCATATCGCGTGATTGTAGTATAATACGAAATCGGACACCAATTTTATCAAATTTCTTCTAACCCGACGCCAAGACAGCTGCCTTGCCTTCTAAATGATCCTCTTACGTTTTATTTTCATTAGCGTTTTACAAATTCTTTTACAATTTGTAATTTTTTTCAAGTATCTATATATTATTTATCTCTCAACTCTCCCACTTTACATTGACAAGTTATTTTCACACACACACACACACATATATATATATATATATATATATATACATAGGTTATATTTCAGTAAAATTACAATTGTATTATATTTTTTCTTTATGCTTGACGATATGCCAAATTATCGGAATGTATCACGTCTCTTACATCTGTATATGTCTCAAAATGTAGTTTACCTTTTGGCACTTTTGCTCACTTTTCGCGCGTGAATTTCTACCTTGAGCACATTTCGGCTATTTATGCGCCGTGCGCAGCATTCGCGTGTTAAAGTTTCACGCAAAAAGTTAAATGGTCGTCTTCCTCTGATTGTGAGTTAAGTAACCCGGCAAGATGTAGGTCAACGTTAAATCTACAATTACTTTTGACAAACGCAGAAGAAGTTGTAACATATTTAACTTTTAAGCTTTTTAATTTAATCAAATCGGTCAGTAATATGAAAATTTATCAAAGAGCATGCAGGGTGTTAACGTGGAGAAATTTAATAAAATATGTAGTCAAATTGACGGCATTATTTTGTAAGTAAACTTAATTTTGAAACTCAAGTTTCTTGATTTCGTACTTCGTATGTACTTGATATGTATTTTTCTTGACGTAAATAAATAATATATGATTTCGTAACAAAATGGAGTATTTGATCACGACGGTCTTATATATGTATAATATAATCCTTAGATTTTCGTAATTTCCTAATGAAAAATTATAAAAATTTAAATAGTAAAGGAACGATCGTATAAATGAAGTTTTATAAGTGAAGAAATTAAATACTAGCGAAACGCAGCATTCAGATTTCTCTAGAGTTTACTAAAAAAGAAAGAAGGAAAAAGTTTTAATTGGCAGTATTGAGAAATATAATGTATCTGTAATAAATTGAAGAATCAATAAAGAGATAGACATTTTTCATGCATCCAAAGGTGAAACCTTTCTGAAGTGTTGCGGCGCAGCACGACGACAAGCCATGTGTCACGTCGCGTCGCATCGCATCAAGTCGACACTGACCCTTTAATATTTGCACGCACTTGAAATTTTTACTTCGGTATACTAACAATGAATCGAACTCTGAAAACAAATAACAATCGGCATGAAGGAGGTAGAAGGTATAAAAGAAGAAGGAAAAGAGAGATCGTATGATACACGCGTGATCATCGTGGGCACCGTTAAATCCTTAAATTGATAGCAACTCATACACAATGAGCTTCATTTATAATCGCTGACTCTAACTCGAGCTACTTCGGCCGGTTACGAAATGCCAGAAGCGAGTCACACTTGTCGAGTGTCTTTGCCAAACATCGAACTTGGAACGTCTAATAATGCTCGAGAATGTTGCTTTAGCGAGTAAATATAGCCGAGCGAGACATTTTTTTTCGCGACTGCGTGCGTCACTTTGATCATGTTATTACCGCGCGTTTAGATGATGATGGGATATATCGTTTATCATTATATTATACATCGTTTGATTCGATTTAAACGATAGATAGAACAAAAGAGCTATAGATAGTAGGTATCTTGGCGATAGTTTGCGTTTTCAGAAGAAAAAAGCAATACTCTGACAAATATCAAATATAGAAACGTGGCTATTACAAATGGTACATAAGTTCCGTTGCTTCCGTTGTCCCTTTTGGTTTAATCGTGAATCGCGTGATTCATCGTTGGAAATTTACTCGCGCATTTCTGTACTCCCTTCTCATCCTTTTGTATATCCTCTTTATCTACAATACTTATCTATCGCTACTCATCTATAGAATCTGTTTTAACTACCAATTAGAGAATTTAAGTACGGCGCATATATGTATGCATACATATCGCTGACAAGGAGATGACTGGCTTTTCTTGTTGTAGAATACAACACTAGAACCGAAGCAGTACGTTTCGCCGCATGGGTGCCTGGGTTGACGAACGTTTCGCGGAGGAGGAGGTGGTCCCAAGTAATCAAAGTGCTACTTGGACTTGGAGAATCCGGAGCCGCAATTGCAATGGTGGTGGACCATTGCATGGTCGACCGGGTGCCGACTATCAATCGCCAGACAACCTTACATCGACCTGGTCGTCAGCATCCCTATTACCGTTGCGTCGTCAGTTCACCAGGCAGCTCTACGAGTGGCCTTGTTTACCGTTGTTTAAGTCAAGGACGAAATTAGATCTTTATTAAATCGATCGTTTCGATTTGAGGAGAAGGGGCCGCCCAAATTTCCTTGCAAATACAATTGCTCGAGTTTTTGTTACCGCGTGTGATTGCTTGTATGTGTCTATATGTGCGTATCGTATACGGTATCAGTTTCACGGAGAGGAAAATTGGATCGCAAATATTTTGATATCTCGAAAGAAAAGTGAATAAATATTTCCTCACATTCTTCGTTTCTTCAATATGGCCGAGTGGACCAAGTTTAATGATGGAGACAAGCAGATTCGACTCGACGAACAAAGGACGAATGATACGACCGTGAGGCGATCGTATATCGAAACGAGCGATGATGAAATTATCAACAAAGGTTTACGTATGTCGAACCATCGAAACAATTGTAATTGTGATCACCATCACGAGAAGACGATTATGGATTCGAGTTCGGTTCGGGGATTAGAATACGTCAATGACTTTCAAAACGACTCGGAGTCATTGGCAAATGCGCGAAAGAAAGAGGAAGAAAAAGAAGAGCAGGAGGAGAAGGAGGAGGAGGAGGAGGAGGAGGAGGAGGAGGAGGAGGAGGAGGAAGTAAGATTCGTGGAGAACGACCCGGAACGAATGGATCAATCGGGCTCAAGGATACGTCGGGAAGTTCGTCAAGAGCTGAAAGAAGATTCGCAAAATATTCAAAGTTCACCAAAGAGACCCAACAGCCTTTACAGAGAGGATGCATCTAGTCCGCAGAAACTGAAGAGCGTTTTCAATGAAAGGGGTACCATTTTCGGGTCCCCTACCAGAATTCTGTCGTCCAAGAGCCATTCGTTGACCGAGAAGAGCACTGAGAAACTCGTGAACGGCAAGTCTCCAAAGGAAGACAAGCAGCAGCATCACGTGCAATTTAACAAAGAGTCTCAAAAGCAGCAACTACGTCACACACCTGAAGAAAGACCGCATCCAAGTCCGTCAATCTCCACGTCTACCACAAGCAGTTCCGAGGACAATTCCAGCTTGGGACAGTTTTGCGAAGCTAGGCCTCCCGACGGAGGTTGGGGCTGGGTCGTCGTAGCGGCCTCCTTTATGGTAAACTTGATCGCGGATGGCATTACCTTTTCCTTTGGCGTAATATATGTCGAATTCCTTAATTATTTCGGCGAGGGCAAGTCCAAGACAGCGTGGATAGGTAGTCTCTTTATGGCGATGCCATTGTTATCGGGACCGGTGGCAAGTTTCTTAACCGATCGGTATGGATGTAGAAAAGTATCTGTAGCCGGTAGCATCTTGGCAACAGCCGGTTTCGTTGTAAGTTCCTATGCGAACTCTATGGAAGTACTCATCTTCACGTTTGGCATTGTAGCAGGTTTTGGCTTGTCCTTGTGTTTCGTCGCAGCGGTGGTAATCGTGGCGTACTACTTTGACAAAAAGAGATCTTTTGCTACCGGCCTATCAGTATGCGGTAGCGGAATCGGGACTTTTATCTTTGCGCCTGTTACACAAAATCTTTTAGCGGAGTACGGCTGGAGGGGAACCACGTTGATTCTGGCAGGATTGTTTTCGAATCTCGCTGTATGTGGATGTCTGATGCGGGACCTCGAATGGACTACCACTAGAGCAAAAGCGAAAACGCAAGAGAGGAGAAAGAATCGAGAAAAGAAGAGATCTAAAATACAGAGTTCCAGCGCAGATTCCTTTTCCGCCACCAGCTCCGCAAACACGACTACGCAAACACCTCATGGTGATTCTAAACGAGGTTTTGCATCAGCCAATGCGATGATTATTGAGAATCTTCGGCCGCAGGATGTATGCAACGAGGAGAATGGTGAGAAGTTATTTTCTAGCTTAGTGAATCTACCTACTTTCGTCAAGAACGGAGAAAGAGTACCTCTGGAGGTGCTAGAACTGCTCAGTACGAATAAGACTGAGACCGTTTACAATGTGCTCCTGCAAAACTATCCGAGTCTTTTGATATCGTCGAGGAGTTTCAGCGATTCTGGAGCGCTGCACGATCAACTGAGTATCCCCTCGGCTCGATTTATAACTACACCTAGTACATTAACTGAAGGCAAGGACAAGGGCCATGACTTGCGCGGCGAGCAGCAGCAGCAACAGCAGCATCAGCATCGTCATCGTCATCATCGTCATCATCATCATCATCATCATCATCATCATCATCATCAATCGGTAGAACCGGCATATTTATGGTGGCTGAAAAAAATCAATTCCGACACTCCGTTAAGGCGATCTAGCACGTTGGAACAACCGAGGAGGCTGCCCACTGCCTATTTAAAGGATATCAGAATGCATAGGCACAGTCTGACTTACAGAGGTGCTATGCTCAACATCAATCGATATCGTTTGAGAGCTTCAAGCTGCCCGGATATCTACAGAAATTCAATGACTACGATCGCCAAGACGAAGCTCGTTTGGTACGCTGGACTCTGGGAATTTTGGGACTTGATCGTCGACATGCTAGACTTTTCGTACTTTGCCGATCCGAGGTTTCTACTGTTCGCCGTCAGCAACTTTCTCTTGCACACGTGGTACGATGTGCCTTATGTCTACCTGACGGACAATGCGATCGAAGTTGGATTTAGCGAGACGGATGCGTCTATTCTGATCTCGGTGATTGGAATCGCTAATATGGGCGGCGAGGTAAGCAGCGGTGGAAATGTTTAGCTAAATAAATGGTATTTCGAATGGTATTTGGTGGGTTTTTTTCTAGTGTTAAAACTGAACCTTTTTTTACAGATTCTTCTGGGTTGGGCTGGTGATAGGGCGTGGGTAAACGCATCTATCGTGTATGCAGTGTGCATGGCGCTCTGCGGTACCGTTACCGCTCTGATACCAATAGTTGTCAACGACTATTACACTTTATGTGCAATCTCTGGTGCCTTTGGATTATTCATCGCAGCAAATTACAGTCTTACCAGCATCATTCTTGTCGAGCTGATCACCTTGGACAGATTCACCAACGCTTATGGTCTTCTGTTACTCGTTCAAGGAATTGCCAATCTCATGGGCCCTCCGCTAGCTGGTAAATTCTTACGCGGCGGTGGCCCGAAACTTTATCATCATCACATATTAACGTAAAATAGTTACAAGAATTACAACAACAAAACAAATTGTCCAGTCAATATTGAATTGATCAATATTGACTGGACACAATATATATTCTGACAGAATTATCAGTGGCAAATTTCCTTTTCTGGACACTGAAACGCGCTGAGCGAATAAGGAATTCTTAAAATAAAGTATTTCTTTTTCAGGCTGGCTGTATGATATCACAGGCACGTACGATCTTTCCTTCTACTTGGCGGGACTGTTTATTGCGTTAAGCGGCGCATTGTTATTAGTGATGCCTTTGATCAGTTTATATCGAAAGTGTCGAAACGAATCTAGAGGGGTAACTACTGATAAGGATTTCAATGCGATAAACAGTGTGTAAATATGCCGGTATTTATTGAAGGAACCAGAAGGAAGGAACTATACTATAGTATATAGGAGAGACAAATAATGATTGTCGATTAGTTGTCGATCGCAATTGGAATCGCGTGTTAATAAGGAATATAAAAGGAATTGCAATACAGATTGCCAAAAATTGTCACGGGCACCCCCTTAATTTCGTTATAGTGTTATTTCGCGATATGCTATACACGAGTTGCTAGAGCCGGCTGTGGTGTATTACATAGTTATAATTAACCTATATAATTTGTCGAAACACCCAACGGGTTTATCGACTTTTCGTAACAACTAATGTGAGCAACTCGAGGAATGTTACGTAAAAGAAAAAAAAATGGTAAAAAGCATTGGTGGAGTGACTTTCCGATTTTGCATGATTATCTGTTAATGCTTTAATTACGAAACTTTTATGAAAGTTATCAGGTCATTTCTAATCTCTTGGACATTGCGCGAAGAAAATTATTTCGGGGATTATACAGATGTAGATTTTTTGTAATACTTTCAATAGCGTAGAGCGATGTAGTAATATCTATAGTAATATCTACAAATTAGAAACATGCCGCTTGCAATATATAAAGTCAAAATAGAAAGAAAGCTTGCAGGAAGCTCGTTACGAGCTACGCGTTGCCGTCGATGATTGCATGAATCTTGCCCGAACGGATATACACGTATGTATATTTTTTGCACGGCAACTGTTAATTGTAAGTATAATAATTTCGAATCTCTCAGGATACTAATGGGCAATCGATGCATATATAGCGGTTCGAAATCAGTACATGTCGTGTCCTGATTTGTGTGTACAGAAAAAACGTATGAGCTCTATGCATGCTTGTAGTTTCTACTATTTCTTCGTCGAGCGAATTGTATTCTCGAGTTAGACTGTACTGTAAAGTTGACAATTGACAAGTTATCCCCTCTCCTCTGGATAACGCGAAAAATATATATATTGTAAATCGATCATTGCGCCACATACCCCAAACTTTTATAATTGTCCATAATTGTTTTATAATTGTGTCCTTCGCGTACGAATTTCGCGAGTCACTCGTGTGTTTCAATTATATACATGTAATTCAGTTAAAATTTAAATTAATTTAAATTGAATTTCGTTTGCATTTCGTTTAATCATATTTTCAATTTGCTAAAAATGTCATCGGTGAGATTATTATTGTAACAATTTAAGTTTCTCTTAATAGCTAATGCGCAAAAAATTGAAATTGTAATAATAAATTGGGCAAGTTCTTTTTTCTCGTGTAGAGGGCGATGCGCGTATTTCGTACGGAAAGCACGTCTATAAAATAGACACATGTATATAGCTTTTCTGTGATTATAAACTTGCCTCCTTATCAATTTTACAAGCTACAAGTAGACTACTACCTCCGTTACTACGCGTACGCGTATGTGCATACGTACATACCATACATTGCATGCGGTTGTGTGCGTTCACGTTCATTTTCGTAATCATTAAGTGTAATATTTGCTTGTATCTACTAATCTCACATAGTTGGTCGTTCTATCTTTTTGTTCTTTTTTAAAAGAAAAAATACGTTGGTGGCACAACGTCATCATTATTGGCCGTATTTCGATATGCATTGTCAATACTGAAAATCTATAATTCACGTTACGTATATTGTGGATTTTCAGTATTGGCAATGTATATCGGAACACGGCTGTTGTAGCGATCGTATACATGTACATTAACGAATGAAAAGTAACGGTAAAGTTGGTAACAGTAAAAGTGTGAACACGATGAAATACTGGCAATCAAAAGTCTATTCATCCTGAAGGCTTTTGAATAGAATGTACATTACTTAGCAAAATGAACATTTTGCTGCATCCATCGCGATGGATATCAACAACGCCGTACGAGGTAAAGGTTCTTTAAAACTAGTCAAAATCGTCGTACGGGATATTTTAGGTATTATCGATACCACGGAAAAATTTTATATTCCAGAAATATCTCTTATAGTCGTAGGAATACACGTATATATAACATTACGAGGCCTTTATACAGAGAAAGAAAATACGAAAGATATTTACGGCTTTCACAGAATTAAGCATTAGATCGTTAGGTAGCAATGACTGCGTAACAAGTTTCGAATATTCTTTGTTAGATTGCCGAACTGACACTTAAGATCAAGTGTAATTTGATATACTCGGAAGTATAATCAGAAGTGAATTGAATTTATAAGTTTGACTAAACATAATCGTATTTCGGTATTTCGGATTAGACACGAATCGATCGGCGTCACGTAATCATGTCCGGTGCCAAGTCCAAATTAGATATGAGAGTGCAATAATTTATTTCATATACGTTCGCATTAATATCGGGCGTACATACATACGCAGCCTTGTATGGCACCTACGAAAAATGAGTATAAAATAATATTTTAATATAAAAAGAAAAATTGTGTATTTCATATATTTACGATATCGAGTTGTCGGCTTTACGAGAGTCTGACGACTTTCAACGGTAGTATTAAGCGATAGTTATTAAGATGAGGAACGAAACGCAAATAATCTATGAAAGGATAAATGAGGACTTTTATTAGAATATTCCTTCCAATGAAACAAAGAGTATTTACAAAAAAATATATAGAAAGGAAAAAGCACACATATAGCATGGGCGTTTCAAGTGATAATGATAATCAGCATTTCGCTTAATTATGTACGTGAATTGGTATGTCAAGTCGTATAGAATTTCGGCTTTCTATTAAAAAATCTTGAAAATTTTACCAATCTTCAACTACATTTTTAACAATTCTGATCGTTACATCGATCAAGCGCATCCCTATAATGCGATATCTTGTATATACACGCACGCGCGCGCGCGCGCGCGCGCGCACACACACACACACGCACACGCACACGCACACGCACACATGTACGTGATCCGATATACCTATTGGCGCAAAATATTACTGAGTTGAACTCTTACTGAGTTGAGTTCTTGTTGAAATATTAAAGGGATTAATCTATAATTAGTCTTCTTACATTATTTATATATGGAAATTCTTTACCAATACCAATACCTATCGAGAACGAAATGCGATTTAGTTTCGTACAGATATTGAAAAATATTCGAAAATGATTTGGATAAATATATCGCAATAGTTTCACAATTCAACATTCACTTACACTTTATTTCGTAACAGCAAATTCCATATTTGTCGTACAAACCATCGCAGATTTCATCCTATTTTGTTTCCTCTATACATTTAAAATAAGAATAGCTGAACAGAAAACTTTAGTACATTTAGGAGATTCGACCTTTATTGGCTTTTTTATTAGTCTTTATTTTTCGATTGATATCACGATAATGTTGCTTACGGCACACGTTTAAACGTGAAAATTAATATCTCGTCGCACTTTACCTCTCAATATTATATGTATATTATAGTTTCTTGATTATAAACAAGATGAAGACTAATAAAGCGAGATAAAAAAGATAAGAAATTTGTAAGTTTTTTATTAACAGAGAGAGAGAGAGATTGATTTGATGTTTTACATAATGTATGTATATAGGCAGTGTAATTACCGCCTAATTTACCGACAAGTAAAGATTCAAGTCGTCACATCGGATAGCGTCAAATGGCGTCGGATGGCGTCGCATTACGCCGTGTCATGTTGACGCATCGGAGATAACTTTATCGATCAGTCATGTATTGTTAAATATATTTTGGCACTCGTATGTACAAAAAATTAGTATAGATTCTTGCAATTACCGAGAAACTGTCACTGTTTGTGAGAGCGCTAAACGATGTACATGAACGTGAAAAAGAATTTTCGCGTGAAATGCTCTGATGGCGGCAATGACACGCACATAATTAAAAAAAAAGACGCTAATCTATTTTTTAAACGAACATAAAAGTACAATTATTTTGCATTAGTTATTTGCATACTCACGATTTTTAACCATAACTAATACTGATAAGATTAAAACGACTGATAGGATAATCCGGCAAAGCATATAATATTTGTATATATGTATGTATAAATGCCGCGCGAGAGCACCATCTCAAAATCAATATATTATTAAATATCAGAAGACTTGATATTATTAAAACATAAAATTCTCTATTTATATGTAGCAATATAGAGTTAAAAATATGATTGTTACAGTGGGACATTGTCAAGAGAGAGCATTGCGGTATATTATAGTACATAACCATGACAGCTGATATCTAAATATAAACGATTGGCCTCGCGTGCAGGTTTATCAATTTATCGCGCATCGACATCGCGTTTTTGACATTGGGAAGTAGTTGTGAAAAGCGAGTCAAGGCAAATTCTAGCAAATCGTAGTACAATGGTGGGGTAAAACATGGCATAGCGGGGCGAGACAGTGACGTCGTCGACTGCCGATGAGAGACGTGAGGAGCGGCGAGGAGTGATCTAGCGAGACATACGAAGCAGATCGAAGGCGGGGCGAGGCAAGGCGAAGCAAGGCGAGGCGAGGCGAGGTGCGGCGAGGCGAGGCGAGGCGAGGCGAAGCGAGGCGAGGCGAGGCACGCCGACGCGGCCGACGCGACGGCGACGCGACGACGAGATGGGGCCGACTCCGACACGCGTGCTCCATTCAGGTCAGGTGCGGCGGCGAGAACCTTCCTTATGACATGGATTTCGAGGCTCCTGAACCTCAGTGTACCGGGTGTCCTCAACCAAGACAGTCGCGTGATATCGCGTCACACGCGTCGTCGTGAAACGCGCCGCGAGCGAATGCACGAAATCGTCATTGCGATAAAAAGGCACAAAACGTTTTTTCCAACGAGAATCGTGTTAGGCTACTCAAAGTCTTCAGCTATAACAATCTGCGCGAGCTCGTTGTTGGTAAGCTTAACTTGACGCGACGTGCAATTTTTGCTACATTTCTTGCATGCTAATTCTCTTTTTTTGTTTTCCTCGTCTATTTCCTTTTAGTCCTTTTTTTAAGCATTTGAAGTATAATATATACAGATTCACCAATTGCCTTCTTCAACAGCATGTATCGAGTACGGGATAACAATAAGATGTCACCGAAAACCTTGTATACATTCTTTTACTTTTAATAATAGATACTATCGCCAATAATATCACGTGTCCTCATTAATATTTCTTACAGCTGTCACGAATTCTTTATTTCGTCAATACTCTTCGTACGAGATTATCCCTTTGTATTTTATATTATACAGTACATATTCAGAAAGAATATTTTTATGTACTTTAATACTTAGTTTTTGGCACCCTTGCTACACACGATGGGTCTTTTGTGTCCTGGATTAATTTTTATCACTTACAAGTATATGAAAATTATTAAGCAATTTTTGACATCTTTAGAAAGTATGTGTAACGTTGTATATTTATAATAAATTGTTATATACAATTGTATATAACAATTTATTGTATATAAACCAAAGAAAAGAAATGCGCAGGACACGAATGACTCAAAGGTGTGTATTAAGGGTTAAACGGCTTGTCTCACTTAATTATCTGTCGCTCGCCCAAAATGCACATTCTGCCACTTGTCACTATATTCCGTACGGACGTATGACTTACCGGAAGTTCTAAATTTCTGATAAGTTAAAATCATTTATCGATTAAATGAATTTGTTTATTTACATCGATGTAATTTTACATAATAAATGTAATTATCGATAATTACGAGTACTACATTTATTTTATTCCCTCGAATATTTTCAATGTCACAATACAACGCGGTAATACAACGTGATGCAGATTGAATACAATGTCGATGATTATGCAATTGAAAATTTATGATATATTGTATTATGCTGTATATTGTATTACGAACTATCCTAAACAGTAAGATAAGAGAACGCTTAAACACGAGTTGAATTCTCCCAAATTATTAACATTATAAAATCATTTTATTTGTAGATTTTTATCAAATTATTTTTTAATTACATTTGGTTCACTTTGATGACTTATAGTTACACTCAATTTTGAAATTAGATACGCTGTAATATTTTTTCTAAACAAGAGTAAAGAAATATTCACTGTTATTTATTATTATTTACACTGTATAACTTATTAATTTACATAAGTTTTTCCTCTTATAAAGATATTTTACTATTATCGCGAAAGTTTAAACCATAAGACATTTTCGTTGTGAAAACATTATATTTTCTTTGCGTAAAAAATTGATACATATAAATATGTATATTGTTATGTACTTTTATGATGTCGCCTTTTTATCCTTCTATTCTCTTTTTTTTCTTCACTTTGTAATTTCCTTGTAATTTTCTTTTATTTGTAGCATCGTAAGCAAGCTTACTGAAAAGTGTATTTTGAGCATTTAAAGAAAAGGGATAGTCGATAAAATTAAATTAACGATAAGGATTTTATCGTTTTGAATGTTTACATTCCGCAAGATGTATTGATCTGCAATATAATCCTGATTAAGTATGCATAATCACTGATGTTAAATTCATAGACAAAATGTTCCATCATGTTGAGTCAAAATACTTAGAACGATGTTTAATCGATGACTCAATGTGTACATATTCGAAATAAATAATGTTGCGAATTACAGCAAATGAGAAGAACAATTTCTCTCTAAGCTTTACGAGAATTTGCCGAAAATATTATATAGTTAAAAAGATTGCACATCAATTTCTTTTGGGCGACAAATTAGAGATGTTAATTTTTCAATATTATATTACCTAGCTGTTCAGTGTAAGAATGGCTAGAAACCTTTTTTTTTTTTTTAGAACTGAGCTTATTCGCAATCATATAGTGCGAGAATTTAATTTTTAATATTTCACACAGATTGTTTTCGAATTTCTAGACACGCTTTGATTTTTCCAATATTTTTGCAAAATCAAATTTATCGGACATTTAATTGTCTCTGTATTTTAGTACAGGCAGACATTGGCTGTACGATAGGTGTCTTTGTTTAACCTACAGGATAAACAAGGACATCTATTGTATAGGTCGCGGCCTAAATGCACGGTGTAAACGTAGCCATAGTCACGCAGAGAAATCGACCAGTCGGTCTCCATGGTGATCACACCCCTCTGGCGACTCTTGTATGGCTCTAACTACTTATTTTCGAACCTATTTTGCTTGCTTTTATTTATTGTTAGCCGTATATAAGAAATGAATGTATAAAGCAAACAATTTGGTATGCGATATTAGAAATATTCGTTTTTTTATAATTCATCAACTATTCTTATATACATTCGCGTTAGAGTCCGATCGAAATTTCGGTTTCGGTTTCGGTCAGTTTCGATCAAAAATCAGGGTTTCGGTTTGATTTCCGGTTTCGGCCGAAATTAACAGAAAATTTCGGTGTGTAAACCAAAACTGTACAAGTTGCATTGCGCCGGTAAGCGTTCAAAAAATAACTGTTCGATTTTAATTATTAACTCGTTGATTAAGCTTAAGACAATTTGAGTACAAACTTTGATGTGATGCTAATAATAACTGTGATTTTTTATTTCTTTAAAAGTTGAAGGTGCTGTATTATTATAGTTAGATATTTTAATAAAATCTTGTTTTTTAAAGAGTACATAAATTTGTTATGATTTCTGAAAATCATGCAGTCTCTCTAGAGTTAATAAAAAAATGTCGATTTCGACTCCGGCCGAAAAAAGTGACTCCGTTAGCTTCGCTCTCTTTTTTCGGTTTCGGTCTAATTCGCTAGGTACGTTAACGATTAGATTTACATGCCTGTTTTCCATACAATACGCATGTAGTGATAAGAGTGTAATTATAAAATCCTTAAAAAAAACGACAGTAAGATACGTAATCATTTTTTCAAATGTTTGCGCAAATAAATTTGTGTTACGTGTTGAGAGAGAGAGAGAGAGAGAGAGAGAGAGAGAGAGAGAGAGAGATATTCCAAGTCTTAATAATTATTTCAAACATTTTGAATAAAGAAGTAAATTTGTGTTTCGTTTGTACGTGTCTCTGCAGAGACACCATATCAAATATTGGACAATCACACATGAGTCGGGATAACTATTTTCCACAAAAAAAAGCTTAAATTTGTAACATCTGCGAATGTCCCCGATTAACAAGATGACTGGGAGTTAAGATAATCGAGAAGTCGATCTAATACAAGTGTCACACTTATATTCTTACATTTCTTACTAATTTTTCATTAAAAAGAAGATTTTATGTAGCACACATGCATAAGAAGTATGACATTTTCTACCTAATGACTTAATTTACATATATTTATGTATATCGATAATTTCTTAGAAATAAAATTATGAAAAAATTTTAACAATGTAACGTTTTTATAATATTTGAGGTAAAAATTTAATCTAATATTTTATTAAAACAGATTTATAAATACACATATCACTGGCAATTGCCAAAAAGTTTTCAGCTTACGTCGCAAGTCGACAGTTGTGCAACACCAAAGTATTATTAGACTACTGTCTGTGAGAGACTTCTAATAATAAAATCATTTACTGTTGAAAGTTTTGAAACGTTTTAGCTTACGATGTAAATGTCTTCTCTCTCTCTCTCTCTCTCTCTCTCTCTCTCTCTCTCTCTCTCTCTCTCTCTCTGGAATATACAGGTACATAATTGAGCATAATGAACAAACTAACGGCAAAAATTTTTAGAATTTTTGAACTTTATAAACATATAAAGGCATATTGAAATTTGGTATTGAAAATTTGTAAAAGTGACGAATAACACAATTATACAAAATTAATTATACAAAAATAAACTTTTTCTGGGACCTGAATAAATCAAGTGTTTCCTGATGGATTTTTGTTTACTGAAAACGAATCCGGCTGCAGAATTGGCCTAACAGCCTATTACGTCAGGTTTCCGAGAAAATTAAGATTAAATGTACCAAAATTGACATTTTTGTCCATACTTATCATTTTTTTGTGGCTAAAGTAAATTTTTTTTTCAATTCCATTTACGTCACTTTAAAGTGGCCATCTTTTACGTATAAATAAATTTATATTTATCACGGTACAATTATTATAATGCGTACTGTCAGAGATTCCATGTAATTATGTTGTTTCCAAATATTATTACTACACAAGGACGTAGTCGCGCATTTTGGCACCCTAACTATCCCGTGAAATTATTTATTTCTTACTATTATAATTCATGTACTTACATTTTATCAGGGTTGTTAAAAGTTACTTTCTCGTTATTGCGTCGTTACTTTTTATAATAAACAATTTGATAATGACGTTGCAATTTTTTATGACGGTAACGCTAACTAACTAAATGCTATAAGGTTACGCTAAGGCTGAAAAAGTCACTTTGAAAAGTAACCTGTCATCATTACGTGTTACTCACTGAACAAACTAAAAGTAACGAAGTAACAACTTTCAAATTTCGTTATTCGTTTATTAGAAATTGTAACTTAATTACCATTACCGTTATTCATTAGAAAAGGTAATTACGTGAAAAAAAAGTAACGAAAAAGGTAACTTCGTTACTTTTTTATGTAACTTATACAACCCTGCATTTTATAAACATTTATAAACAGTAATAATCATATATCATCTGTTCAACTTAATGATTTATAATATATGCTAATTATAGGCTTTTGAAAAAAATCATACTGTAATAAATTTAAATTTATTTTATAGATAAAAGATAATACTTAAAAAAAAAATGGCGTAAATGAAATTGAAAAGAAAAATTTAATTTCTCCTTAAAAAAGTGGTATATATGTATATATGTATATATATATATACATATATACATGTATATGGCCAAAAACGCTAATTTTGGCACATTTAATTTCAATTTTCTCGGAAAACTGACATTTTAGCCCAATTCCACGGCTGGATTCGTTTTCAACGAACAAAAATCTATCAGAAAACAATTCATTTATTCAGGTGTCAGAAGTGTTGAACCATGTAATCGACTTACCTTGTTTTCTCATTTTTCTAAAAAGAAGCAAGTTGCGTGGCAGCTCATATAATGAGAACATAATATATGTCGATTCAAATATTGCGAATAATCGATATAGACAATAAGAATCATATTTTATAGAGTCTAAAATATGATTCTTAAATTCTAAAATTTAGACCGTACATGTGAGAACACAATCGATAAACTAGAAGTCTATATACCGGTCGAAGCTGGATCTTTAATGCTTAAATAATTCAATGTGAATTATAATGTAAATATATATGTAGAATTATTTTTGCCTGTATATTTATATATTTTGAGGTAATCTAATTCCATGGCAACTTGGCAAGTATATAGAGACGTCGTAACTCGAATCAAAATCTTTTCTATGTCGGTAGAAATGGAGATAAAGATACGAAAAACGTTTTAGAAACACATTTATCTTGTTACTAACAATTTATTATTATTTCGTACCTTCCACACTTGGCTGTGAATCATTCAAATAGTACACATATATGTATATTAGATATTCCCTAAACGGTTATAAAACATTATAGATACGTTTAGGAAACGTATATAAACTAATGTGCTATCTGATTTACAATTGAGCACCAGTTATATAAACTTTGCTTTATCGATTGTAACTTGTGTATCTCATAATTATTCACGCCAACGAGTCTTTTCCTATATACGTATAGTATGTAGTACGCCTGCAAATATTACGTTACTTCGTTGGTGTGTAGTACTAGTAGTGTAACTATTAGTTTTTTCTTCATCACTTTATATTTGATCCAAATAAAAACTCTCGTGGAATAATATATGATGTGTGCAATTTTGTTATTATGGTATCATTAGGCTAGGTCCACAACCTTGCTTTGAGAAGCCTTAAGGCCTGTTACACAATAGAGTTGCAATTCGTAAACCGTAAGAAATTAACCAATTATAGTCGATTATTTTTGTCATATTCAACTGTGATTGGCCAATTTCTTATGGCTTACGAACTGCGACTCTATTATGTAACAGGCCTAAGTCGAAAGAGATTAAGTAACAATAATTTCTGTCTTTAAACTGTTTTTGCACAGTCTTTAGGCTTTAATTAACCGTTAGCGAATCGAGGAAAATCCAATTCTTACGGCCTAAAAGCATAAGTTCTGTGGCCGATGTATCGTCACTTATAACTTAAAGCTTACGGCTTACAGTCTCTTAAAGCAAGATTGTGGACCTAGTCTTATCGTCCACAATCTTGCTACGCCTTGGCGAAATTTTGTTACGGAAAATTGCTGAAAGTATGAAAATACGCTAATAATCATATGCTTATTCCGTGGACATTAACTTATCGAATGTTATTGTAATAAAGCGTAGTCGGTAGATTGAATCTGTCAAAGTGTTGGTAAACGTTGAAACTGAAACAGGGGGCCTAGCTTGTTATTACACGCGTAGCCAGTTTACAAAATACCTTCTCCCTACTTGTTAGGCACGATGATCCCAAGATTTTCATCGGGTGTGATTGCTATTAACGCTAATAAAGGTAAAAAAATTGTTTTACAGAACGAGCGACTCGACAGTGCGTGCATGCTGAATTCGGCGCGGTCGACTTTTCGTGAAGCGTTCAAGATTGTCCAAAGGGTCCTTATGGTAACCGGAAGACAAGGTGGCTATCTTCCGACAGAGTTCCAAGGGCTGAAAGGCTGGCGACGTCGTTGGATTCATTCGGCCATTACCTACATTTAGAGAAATCATGATTAGCAGGAACGATACCATCCTGCGAGGAATTGAAGCGGAATGCGAGAACAGCTGCAGGCACGATAACAATAATGATCAAAATTGTTCTACGAGCGTTACGAGCATCAGAAAGGAAGATGCGTACGTGAAAAGGAGCCAGAGCAATCGCCATCAGCCGCATAGAGCTCCGTTGATTGGTTGGCAAAACGGAAGTCCTACAATTTATTCGAGTTTTCTCCAGCAAAGCGTCGATTTCGATGAGACCAGCTTACCCTCGAAAAGCTGTAATATACGTGAAACCAATTTGGATGCAAGCAATATAACGGAGAAACCGATTGACGCAATTGAGTCGCTTGAGCCGGTCAAAACGATCATCAGGCCGATGGAACGGCGCGGTTCTTGGAACAAAATTCAGGAGGCACCCGTTGATCGCGAGAGATACGCCGATACGAGTAGAAGAAATCAAAAGCGAGTCAAGGATTCCATCGATTCCTTGAGCATCTTAGAGCGAGAGGATTCGTCGAGTTTTATGGCGAGGGAGACAAAACGTAAGAAACCGAAAGTGCCTGACGGCGGTTGGGGCTGGGTAGTCGTTTTGGCCTCTCTGATCATCTCCATGGTGGCCGATGGTGTCTCCTTCAGCTTCGGCTTGCTTTACATCGAGTTCCTTCACGAATTTGGCGCCTCAAAATCCAAGACCGCCTGGATCGGGTCGCTCTTCATGGCCGTGCCTCTTCTGTCCGGACCGATAATGTCTGCCCTTGTCGATCGTTACGGATGCAGAAACATGACCATCGCTGGCGGTCTGATATCAGGGCTGGGCTTCATCCTGAGTATCTTTAGTAATACCATCGAGATAATGTACTTAACTTTCGGCGTGATCGCGGGCCTCGGTCTCGGTTTGTGCTACGTCACCGCGGTTGTGAGCATCGCTTTTTGGTTCGACAAGAAACGAACCCTAGCTGTAGGTCTCGGGGCATGCGGCACCGGAATCGGTACGTTTCTCTACGCTCCCATGACAACGTATTTGATCGAGGAGTATGGCTGGCGAGGCGCTTGTTTGCTCCTAGCCGGTACTTTCTTCAATATGATCGTTGCGGGTACCGTTATGAGAGATCCGGAATGGTGGATTCTGGAGCAACGGAAACAGGACCAAGCTGCTCTGCCGAAGAAGTCGTACGGCCGCTCGGACGCAAGTTTGTCGGACGAGTTTCCAGGCGTCGAGGAGCTGAGAAAGCTTTTTAGAAGTGACCAAGCGCCTGAATATTTTTTACAAAATCTAAGTACCAGCACTAAAGCGGTCAATGGAGCGAAGAGGCAGACGACGAGTGTAGTTAATTTACCAACTTTTGTAAAGCGAAGCGAAAAGGTGAGACTGATGAAGGGGCGGAAGGACTGTAAATATGTTGCAAGGATGCGATAAAGCGACAACTCGCTCAATTTGTCAGTTTTCTATAAATAAATTAATTTAAATGTGAGATTCTAGGTGCCTTTGGAAGTATTGGAGTTATTGCTATCCAATTCTAGGCTGTACACTGTCATTCTGGAGAATTATCCCAGCCTCTTGTTGTGTAGAAGTTTGTCCGATAAACAGCTGCAAGACTCGACGGGAGAGATTTCTAATAAAAGCGGCATCACTATGTCAATGAGGTTAATTTGCCACGCATTTAATACACGTAGTTATATGTACAATAGAATGCGGGTTTTAACGAATCGATCTGTCATGAGAACCAAGTTTTCGTATCTTCTTCCTACGATCACGTGTATGCTTGCCGTGCGACGCTTTCGTCGAATACATTGAATATTACAATCGGCTCTGACACATTTAATATTTATTATATTCTGTTATATTCTACAAAGGCTTAAACGAGCAACGGAATCGAAAGCGATCGTTGAACAAAAAAAGGATTCAACCTCCGTTCACGCCCCGACGAAACTCGTTTGCACCAGAAAAATATCCAGGAATGAAATAGAGGAAACTAATCCTTTACTAGCAAAGGAAATCATGCATACGGTAATTAACAAATGATTCGAACGATGTGTGAAAGATTCGATTATGTTAACTTTATTTTCTTGCTAGGTCGCACCGATTGAAAAAAAGAAATCCGTGTCCAGACGCTATGTCGAGCCACAGTCCAGTAATGTCATCAGGACAGACTCCTTACCTTGGCTCAGACGACAGTTCAGCACCAACACTCATTATTTCAAGGATATCAGAGTGCACCGAAATTCCGTTATGTATCGCGGTGCTGCTTTAAATCTGCACAAATACAGGCTTAGAGCGAGCAGTTGTCCTGACATCTATAGAAATAGTATGACCACATTGGCAAAAGAGAACGAACAGGTATTTTTGTAGAAAACTTTTCTATTGGAAAGGAGACATTTGCAAGAGATCTATGAGAGTGTTTCTATCGATTTTCTTTCTTCATTTCCCAATTTCCGGCAATTTCATTTGACAGAAGTGGTACGCCGAACTGATAGACTTATTGAAGAGTATGTTGGATTTCTCCATGTTTTTCGAATTACATTTCCTGTTAATGTCATTGTCGACGATATTGTTATTCACATGGTTCATCGTACCGTATTTTTACCTGGCGGAGCATATGACTAGAAATGGTTACGCCGAGTCCGATGCCGCTAATCTCCTCAGCATCATCGGTATTACCAATACCATCGGAATGGTAAGATCAGATTTTATACTTTAACTTTTAATATTCTATTCCTTCATTTCCGTTACTATTACTTTTTTTTTTTAGATTGGTCTAGGCTGGGCTGGCGATCAATCCTGGATGAATGTCAGCAAGACGTATGCTTGGTGCCTGATAGCCTGTGGAGCAGCTACCATATTGATATCTGTGTTCACTCAACATTACGTATTTTTATCGATAAGCTCGGCAGCTTTCGGTCTTTTCTTTGCTAGTAATTTTAGTTTCACGCCCGTTATATTAGTAGAACTGATTCCTTTAGAAAGATTCACTACCGCTTACGGTCTTAGCTTGTTGTGTCAAGGAATTGGAAATCTTTTGGGACCTCCATTGGCTGGATGGTTCTTTGACGTGACCGGTTCTTGGGAACTTTCTTTCCTGATGGCTGGTGGTTGGATCATTGTCTCTGGAATCTTGGTAGGTATTATACCGTATACAAGAAATCGTAAGATTTTCGGTAGTGGACCAATCGAGATGGAACGAACGAATGGCGATGATTGTTCGGCATAGAGAACAAAAATATACTTTTATTATATTGATAAATTGCGCACTGGCATCAGATAGAACAAAATTAATGAAAGTTTAATTAAAAATAAAATTTTAATCAATCTAATGTGTTAATCGAAAGAATCTCACTGTGTTTTATATCGAGCGAGCAGTGCGATTATGTCTATTGCACGATATATACGTATACACGTGTGCGTGCGTGCGTGCGTGCGTGCGTGCGTGCGTGTTCGCGTTCGCGTGTGTATAATATACAGGGCAGACTCTGCATATAGTGCCAAAACTCCTACAGTGGCTTCAACATATGAAAACAAGTCGAAAATGTCTAATAAACATATGTACGATTCCGAACGGTTCGGAGTTACGGGATATTAAAGTAAGAAAACATGAATCGTAGTAGGTAAATGTTGTTTAATGTTCGTTATTCTATTGTTCTGAATCCTGAATCTTTTTCTGATAGACTAGATCTTTCATTCGTTCCTAAAATGTAAACAAATACACATTAAGGATGACTTCTTGTGCGAACGTCTCTCCATGATCACTATTCTCATTGGATTGGAAGAGGCCAGGACGCTCCTATTAAATAGTCAGCGAAAAGTCCCGACCTCACACCACTGGATTTTTTCTTTAGGAATGAAGGATCGAGTGAAAGAAGAAGAAGAAGCGAATGAAAGATCTAGTCTACCAGAATGAGATTCAGAATAGAGAATAATTATGGCAACTGATACTTAACGCTGCCGATATCATCCGCGAAACTCTAAATATTTGTCATCGCAAGTTTGAAACAATTTTAATTCGTACTAGAAAGTGTGTCGAAATCGACGAAGAAATTTTTGAACATCTTTTGTAAAGCATTAAATAGAATAACCAACATTAAACAACACTTACTACGATTCATGTTTTCTTACTTCAATATCTTGTAACTCTGATTCCGTTCGGAATCGGACATATGTTTATTAGATATTTTCGACTTGTTGTCATGTGCTAAAGCCGCTGTAGCAGTTTTGGCACTATATACAGAGACATCCTGTATATAATATATACATACATATATGTATACATATACATGTATATCAGTATATGTATTTTTGTGTAATGAACAATTTTGAATTGCCTATTGGCAGCGAGAGTTCATTTGCACGTATTTTTCCCTCGTACTTAACTTACTGCTGTTATTAATAAATTCTACTTATATAATATTATAATTGTTACACGTTCATTTAAACTAAACTAATTTCGTGACTCCTACATTCGCGCGTACACAAAGATATGTACACATTTACCTTTCTACTTAAAACGTACGCGTAATTGCATGCGCAAATTGTGTACACATATTGTTATAGATTTAATTTTAATAATTAGATTGTTCAAATCTTGTTATGAAACAAAATTAAAAAGTCTAATTACAAATAATATATTTTGTAACAGAAAAGAAACCTCATAAATAACAAAAGAGATTCGAACATACAAAGAAATATACTTTCATTTGATTTAATTTGAAATGCTTAAATACGTCTACACAATCAACATTTACATTACTTTATAAAAATAAAACAACGGTGTTTGTACAATGAATTTCACAAATAATTTAAACGATACAAGTTTAATATTCTGACGTGCGATTCAACTGTATTACAAGTTATCATTTTCACCCTTGTCGCACAAATGTATGTGTAATGTGAGTTTTTTGTTGATAGAATCTTTGTTATTAATGTTATTAATCCAAAGATTAGATAAGTAGTCAATTAAATAATAATAATAATATATACTATTAGTATTTTTGTTAGAAAATGTGAGCATCTAGGACATAAATTTGTGTATAATTTCGCGAGAAGAATTCTGCCATATAAATCGTTGAATTATTTATTTATTTAGTTTAATTGTTTGTTCAATTATGTTATTGCATGTGATAGGCGACGTGAAATATTTTGTTATGATGATTCATATAAATATGTACATACATAAACGTTCCATTCCATCTACAATACCAACATACTATATGTAACTTTAAATTTCAGTGTCAAATATCTGCCCAAAGAACGCGCAGGTAAATCATAAATGTAAAGATCTTTGAATGTGGATCGAATTATTTATACTTAAGAAACGGTCCAGTTATGAATATGATGGTATAATCAATGTGTTTTAATCACTGTTTCGAACTTAATCGATTACATATTTCACAAAACAAAAAATAAAAAATATATATGTACATTATATATTATATCTCTTGCATATAGTATAATATATGAAGTTGAGCAAGGAAAATGTCCAACCTTGTTCCCTTTTCCGATGAATCTGAACGTCTCTCAGTGTCTCTATGTATCCACGATCAGCTCAGTATCCTGGAGACGTAGTCGGATTGAGTGGATTAGGACTTGGACTTCGGATAGGTACTCTCGGAACGCCTAGAATGCCGGCGAGATTTCGTACGCTTTTAGGGAACGCTCTCGCAATGATAAAATGCTGAGGACCGATCAAGGCGTCTCCCATTATACCGAGGCGCACGCCGTTCCCATGCCTGTGCAGAGTCATAGACATGTCTAAAAGCATGATACATTACAAGTTTTGATGAAAAAGCGCGATATACGTTAATAAAAGAAAAGCAGATATCGCGCAAAAGCGAAACACATTAATGACATATATTGTATATGTACTGCAATTTCCTTGCGGTGGTCGCCAGTAAACCGCTCCGTCTATGCCCTCCACAGGTAAATCTCCGTCAACATGCGTTAAACACAGAGAGTATCTTTTCGACAGTTGATTTAAAAGTAATTTCAAAACGATGGACGGGACGCAGGAGGAAATTAATCCGTAGGACGTTTCCGCTGCCGTGATAGCGTAAATTGCACTTTGCCGGGACCTGGCATTCTGCACGTTTCGCTGAATAACCTTGGGGAAACGCGACACGTTGGAGAGATCTAATTGTAATTATCTTTTCGCGCTCAAGTCGAGTAAGCATATATTATGCTAATTATGCAATACCTGCAATATTTCAATGAGATCGTCGTGGAACAATGGCGTTCTGGTTGGTAATGCGATACAGAGGATACCCCTGGCCTCGTGATTTCGAAGAAACACTGCTCGCTGACTGACGTATTTGACCGTCGCGAATACATCACCCGGAACGTTGACGGCCAAGTGCTTAAAATATTCTTTCAGGGCGTCCACGGTAGCCGTTAAAAGAATCTCCATCTCTGTCGCGCCAGTTACATTAGCCATTTTTCCTACGAGCTCGATGTCCACCTTTTCCGACCAAGCCACTACTTTCCTGCCACACGGTGAGATGGTTTGCAGTCGATTCGATTGCGGATTCTTCAAAAACAGCTCCTCGATTATGATCTTGGGTGCAGTCGCGGCTATCCAGCTAATGGACATCGTTTCCCGAATTGCTTGAACCGTCAGGGGAAGGTAACACGACAGGGTGTACGTCAAGGTGTCTGCAGGATAACTGCAATGTCTACGCCGCGACTGTAAAGCTCGGAATTCTCGAACGAGCAGGAGGGGCGTCTTTAAAAACAACGTAATCACGATGTACCAGGACAGAGCAATGCACGTGTAGAGAACGTCGATCGGGTGGAAAGATTTCGCAATGGAGTCATATATCATCCGAGAATTGAAATTTCTCTTGCTCGATTCGCGCCGGACGATCGACAGAAGCTCCAAAAATTTTAATCCTTCCGACTTTCGGCACTGTCTAAAAAAAAAAAATTACAAAACAATAAAGTTACCTATATAATACTATCGCGATACCCGATACGTATGCTTAATCCTTTTGAATATTCGAGCGAAGGATAGCAAGAGCGATCTGTATACTATACTTATTGTTAGTATACAGATTAGTCTTCTGGAATGAGAGGCAACTCGAGAGTCGAGATTACGACACCGTGTCGCGGGCCACGCGAATACCTGGCCAATTCCTTCATAGTGCAAACCAACGCTATCGTCGCGATCTTGACACACTGAAACACTCCTATACGCTTCTTTAGAATCCCCGGCCGCTCCATAGGATCGTTATCGTAAAGAAAATCATTCCAGTAGTTGCTGAAGCTCTCTCGGAACATCTGTCGGAGACGCGGTAGAGCGGAGGGTTGGGCATACAGATTCGTAAAGGGCGAGTCGCTCTCTTGACAAGTCCAGTTGTCCGTCGAATATTTCAACGGCAAAAAATCCGCCAAAGTTAGATGCTCCTGCCGCAGGAGCAAGTGATGCGCTCGCACCAGACACACCTGACGTTCCTCTCCTCGCACGAACAAGTTGACTACGTGCACTTGCCAAGGCGGTAATTTCTTTGGAAGAAACTTGGATGTGACGTCGCTTATGTAATCCTACGACACAAAACCATTGTCTATACGTCAAACAGCTGGCTCTGCTCTACGCTAAGTATAAAGTAATAATAATTAAATGAAAGAACGACCTGTATATTGTTCTCGGTGATAGGACGACCTCGAAAAGAATACGGCGAATTTGCGAGATGATTGTCCACGGAAAAGTAATCGAGTTCTTTCCATACGTATACGCCCCATCGCGTGAAGAGAGCCGATTTAAGGAACTTTCTCGTCGTAGTCAGATGCGCCAAGTGATTTCTCACGTCCTTTACGATCGAACGTCCTTGTACGAGAAGGGTGCGTATGCCCTACGCATGTATAATCGTGGTGACGATAGATGAACGTACGGTAGTCAGTAGCGACCGATTAAAATTGGCCCAATCGATATATCTATTTACCGGATTGCGCCCTTGGTCCAAGATGCTGCGAATACTCTTCTCCTCCACAACGACGTAACTCGGATGTTTCCATTTGACGAAGCGTATCCAACATCTTCTTGTCGACGTCACCACTTAAAAATGCCAAATACACACGTATTACAATAATATAGCCCATGTTAGAAGAGAGAGAGAACGATACTATTACAGCCCGAAGGAGAATATATAATTTCAGCGCCAAAATTACTCGCGTTAGTAAATTTAACTTCAACTCTAGAATACACTGAAAAAGATGCATGTAATTTTACATGGAAATTACATGTTCGTGACTGGAAAATTGCCTAAATATATGATTGGAAATTTACAATTTTCAGTAAATTTCCAAGTATATTTATGTAATTTAGATAATTTTCCAGTCATATCCATGTAAGATTACATGCATTTTTTTCAGTGTAGATATTCAGTGGTAATTATGCACGCGTGGATAATTACCACCATAAATAAAAGCTCGAAAACACTTTTCGGAAGAAAAATAATTACCTACGTACGCGATAAAGAGAAGCGGAACTAAGAAAGTCGTCGACACAAAACTAAAGAAAAAATTCATCGGAGAAATAACGATATCGAACATGATCTGATCTCGCGATACGATTTTCGCCTATTATATTGAACGAGAGCCGCTCTGGCTCTCGTACTTTCCGATGTCTTGCTGTCTCGATGCTACAACTGTAACTCGGCGCAATTTAACTCACGGCATCCGCGTTCCAGTAGTTCTCGCGTATGCATGCGTCTCGGGGATGCGGCGCGAACGATTATACATCGAGTCTGACCTTTCGCAACCCCTGGCAAAAAGAAAGCCAAGCGAGATACTGTTCCTTCGTGATACTCGCCTCTCACCGTCGAAAGGTCGTTGAAAGGTCTCGTCAGAAGTCTGAGTCGAGAGTTATCATTGCCGAGTGACAGTCGCAATTAATAATCACTCGTTGCGAAAGGAGCAAGGATTCGAGATAATAAGTCTTTATAACAGTTGGAAACCTTTTACGACGAATTATTGTTTACGGACGAACCCTCGCGAAAATACGTACGTGGTTTGCATTCGGTAAATAAATAGTTGCGCCAATGTAACGTTGAAGCGTTATAATTCCACGTCTGCAAATTATTGTCGAGAGCAATCCACGAGTGTGTTACACCGACAAAATATATCAATACATCGACGTTCGATTACTACTGGAGCAGTGACAATAACATATATAGTATGTACAATAGGGTAATCTGGGGTAATAATCCCGATATACGATACGCCGCACCTAACAAAAACTTAATTTATATTAAGTATCATTTACTACTTTTAAAGTAAACGAACTGTATCAGTAAAAACTTTATAGACTACCGTCTACTACTAGGAAAAAAAAATATTAGAAAAATCCGAAATATATACCTTTTTCGTATTAAATAAAAAAAGAACTTTTGGAAACCCTCGCACTTTCGCCACGTATCCCATAGTACGGGTGGGGATATACGGCTACTCGTAGGGGGAGGAGGGGTATGTACGGCTCATGAAAAATTTACAAATAATGCTTATAAGCAAGACGTACAATAAAATGACACGATCACTTATAAAACGTGTTATTTATAGAGTTGTATTAATTAAAGAATGATAAATATGTACATGAAGTAATAATTACAATAATTACAATCTTCCTACGTATGTACATTACACAGGTGTTATTATTACACGAAGTACATACTTCGTGTAACGCGTTTATTGCATTTTAGGGCCATTGTTAGGCTGCGTTCGGAAACGTCACCCGGAAACGTGCCCCCATGTTATCCTTATTTAACATTGGGTGGACAACAAAGATAAAATGATACACAGAGGCACTCGGGTGATATTTCCGAACGCAGCCTCGCCAAGCTTCGATTAATTTCGGCCTAGTAACTTTGCAGGCTTCCAACTTAAGCTGATGTCGGAGAATTAATTCAGCTCGCATTAGGTCTGTTCGCGTTGCTTGCACTTTTGGCACTCGGCATCTTCGCTTTCTCTCTTTTCAAGGCCAAATATATATCTATCTCATTTTAAGTGCAAAAAATATTTAGGGATTTCATGCAACGCGAACGGACCTATTAATTCAGCTCGTATTGATTCTCCGACATCAGCTTAAGTTGGAAGCCTGCAAAGTTACTAGGCCGACCAAGTTAATCGAAGCTTGGTGACAATGGCTACGTTTACACCGTGCATTTAGGCCGCGCCTATACAATAGATCTCCTTGTTTATCTTGCAGGTTAAACAAAAACACTCATCGTATAGGTCGCGGACTAAGCGCACGGTGTAAACGTAGCCAATGGACCGATTGGACGGCTCGTTACCCCGGATCTACAATACAGTTTTAAGCTTTAAGCCATAAGAAGTGGATGAATCATCAGTCGATTATTCTCTTCGAATTCGACTGTAATTGGTCAATTTCTTACGGCTTAAGTCTTAAAACACCTATTGTAGATCCGGACTAAAGGCATCTTAAGAGTTTTATAGGCCGGTATTCATAGTCGATTCTTATTTCAAGACCGTCTTAAGTAACGTCTTAAGACGCTAATGCGGCCCTCTGATTGGTTCGTGACACCTCAAGGCTGAACTTAAGACGATCTTGAATATATGATCTGACTATGGCTCGTAGTCGGGCCTTATATCTAAGGCTTCCTTAAACTTATCTTTTCAGATGCTCTACGAATTATTTCATTGGCTACTGAGCATCTAAAGATAAATTTAAGGAAACCTTATGTTCAAGGTCTGACTACGGCTGCGGTCCACTTGACGCTACAAACGCTTCGAAGCATTCTTTGATTAGTCAATTCGTAAAATTCTTTGTTCTGATTGGTCGGTCAAACGCTTCGAAGCGTTTGTAGCGTCAAGTGGACCGCACCCTATGAATACGGGCATATGAATACCGGCCGTAGAGTCAGCTAAAATAGAGTTTTGGAACACGGTAATACCAGGAAGCATTTTTCGATCTCTTTCTCTTTCTCTCTTCAAATACTTTAAATAACAATTGATTTGGGTTGATTGGAGTATACTTGTAAGTTTAATTAAATATAAATTTGTATTTTAAAAAACTTATATTAGATTTCTAATTCTATTTAGAAGTTTTACAAAGTTTAATTATGTAATCATCAATATTTATTCAATGCAGCAATTAATTTCAGTCAATAACTCTCAAGTAAATATTGATAATTATGGCAGCCGGTCCAATTGCGGAGCGTAATCAAGGTTTGTGATCCAATCTTTTAGTTGAAATAATTTAGCTTGAATAATTTTTATATAATCTCTTTTTCCAAAAAGAATATACGAAAAGATATAAATGCTTTGATTATATTTATCATATCGTCACATTACAAATTAGGTTAATCATTTGATATTAAAGTTAACCTTAAAAATGTATTTTATGTCATTGAGTATCTAGTTGTGCTGGGGAAAATAGTTGGAATAGAAAGTAGTAAATACATATTTTCTGTGTAGGG